CCCCTTCTGCCCCCCCCCAGCCGATGGCTCTGTAGCGGATAGCGCTATCCTTCCTTAGGAGTGTTGACTGGAGAACCCTGGCCCAGAACAGAAAAAGGAGATGGTAGCCCTGCCCTGATCTGATGGGGAAGGAGAGAACACACTGGACTACCACCATATTGTTTTACTTTCCACAGCTGAGAGAATGTGGAGACACTGGAGCACATTCAGAGAACATGCAGTAGAAAGAGGAGACTCAGACTGTGATAGATATTATGGACTGGTTGAATAAGTTGGGACAGAAAGCCTTCATTTGAAGAGGAATTAGTCTTTTTTTTTTGGGCCTTGCTGCGCGGCTTGCAAGATCTTAGTTCCCCAACCAGGGGAATTCCCTGAAAAAACCTTCTTAATCTGACCTTTAGTCTGAAGACTGTTTACATTTTTTGTTGTTGTTTGTTTACTTTTTTGTTGTTTGTTTGTTTGCTTTTTTATATCATTCTCATTTATTTACATTCCTTAGCATCAGCACACTTGGCAAACAACAGTAACTCACAAAATCTCTCTCTCTCTCTCTCTCTCTCTCTCTCTCTCTATATATATATGATTCAAATATACTATATATATTTTTTTTTTTTTTTTTAAATACCCACCTATCTATATAAACTGTAGGCTTCTGTTTCCATCAGGGACACTTTCAAACAGTCAGACGCAAGACTGTGCCTGTACAGGAACATATCCTCATTTATGCAAACACCTAGGGAAAGTGAGATAGTATCACAATACAAATACAGTTAGTTACACACCCTTAGGTATAGATCTGGTAGGATGGAAGGGCAATAGTGCCACCTGTAGATACTTTTGAGGAAAACATCTGAAACTAATGATCACAGTTTGAAAATCATTTTACAAATCATTCTAATATGGTTACATTTTCTGTTACAGAGCTTAAAAAAGTCATTTTTACATATGTGAAAATCAGTTTAAGTACTGAAATGAGTTATTTTTATTATAATACTACTCTTTTCTGAAGTATTAGCATAGGCATGAAATCAAATAAACTACTAATATTCCCAATTACTAGAGTAAGTGTCCAAAATGTGATTTTTGTTTGTTTGTTTGTTTGTTTTTTGCGGTACGCGGGCCTCTCACTGTTGTGGCCTTTCCCGTCGCGGAGCACAGGCTCCGGACACGCAGGCTTAGCAGCCATGGCTCACGGGCCCAGCCACTCCGCGGCATGTGGGATCTTCCTGGACCGGGACACGAACCCGTGTCCCCTGCATCAGCAGGCGGACTCTCAACCACTGCGCCACCAGGGAAGCCCTGATAAGTATATTTTTAAGTATCAGTGCCCCTGAACTATAAATATGGAACAAATGAACTACAGTCTTGAAGCCACTTACACATTATAGTAGATTAATGTGCAAAGCTTTGAGGGAATAGGCTACCCCAGTACAAATGTTATGATGAAATTTACTAGGTCCTTTTGAAAGACACAGTTATATACAGTGTGAGAATGCTTAGGAAATGGCTATCAGTTTTATAAGTTGGATTTAAAAATCATGAATAGTATGTGTGGGCCCTTCACAGTGGTGGGTTTCATTTCACAAACATAGTAGACTCACAATTGCCAGGGGCTGAGTTGGAACTGGGGTTTCTGCCCTTGAGGAGCTTATAGTTCCTCTGAGATCCTATTGAAAGCAGTAAGCCCTCTTCCCAAAAATGCTTCCAGCTCTCTTAGGTAAAAAACAACAAGTCAAAACTGACCTTGCTTTTCTGAACAACATACTGTTAAAATAAACTTCAGAAAAATAAGGGGAAAATCCTTGGTCTCTAGGAGAGGCAGTGTGGGAGTGACACACTTGCTGGGTGACTATCAGGAACATTTCAAAGAAGAGGCAACACTGAAATTTTAGTATCAGCTTGAAAGGGAGTGGTTTACAGGGTATGAAAGGGCATTCAGCACAGAAGGAAAAGCCCTGCCAAGGAACAGCACGGGCTGAGATGAGTTTAGAGAGCTGAAGTCACACTGTCTCTACCCCTAGTCAGGTGGGCTGCCCTCAGACTCTGAGAAATTAGTCTTTAAAAGATCAAGTACTATAGCACATCTTCCTGTATTTCCTTTGGTTTTGTAAGTCTTGAATTAAAATGCTCTGGTACAGGGATTCCCTGGTGGCACAGTGGTTGAGAGTCCACCTGCCAATCCAGGGGACACGGGTTCGTGCCCCGGTCCGGGAAGATCCCACATGCTGCGGAACGGCTGGGCCCATGAGCCATGGCCGCTGAGCCTGCGTGTCCGGAGCCTGTGGTCCGCAACGGGAGAGGCCAAAACAGTGAGAGGCCCGCAGACCACAAAAAAAAAAAAAAAAAATGCTTTGGTACAATCCAGAAAGAAAAACAGACAAGTAGAGAGAAGGACTTTTGAACACAGTTTTGAAGGCACCCCTGCCCCCTGCAAACTTAGACTCAACTCTATTTTACCACCTTAACTGGCTCTGATTTATAGTATAATCCAGCTACCGCACACTCTTCTGGTTTAAGCTGAGCTATTAAAGCCTGTTCAAGCTGTTCCAGCAAAGTGCAAGTAATAAACTAGAAGGGAAGAGGAAGCCAAAAATGTGTCCCTGGCTGGAAGGTAACAGTTATTTGACTCTTAGGACCCTGTGCAGACAGTAGGCTTTTGAGGGCATGGATAGTCTTCCTCATTTCCATATGTCAGCTTTAGAACATGTTCATGAACACCAGGGACTTGGTGTCTACAATGTGCCAGGGACTAGATAAATGGACAGTGTCTGTTTCCCGGTTTAGGATGGATCAATCTTAAACCATCCCAGGAAGTCCTTGATCTATTCTCTTTACCATTCAAGTGAGTGTATGTTAATGAAATACATTAAATGGGTCTCTTTCCCCCCCACCCCCACCAAGGGCAATCGTTGCAAGCTGTTTGACTCCCCTTCCACGTGTAGCTCCACCATCCCGTCAACGTTGAAAAGACCAGACCGATCTCAAGAGGAGTCCCCACGTGGAAATAGGAAGCGGAGGA